TGCAGCACTTGGGGCTGCTGTAGCAGGTCACGGAGTAGCTGTTTCCTCCTCCGCAGCAGGACATCTTGGTGGTTGGAGTGTTGGCAAAAGCTGGAAGGAAAACGGAGTTTGGTGTTGTTTTTTTTTTTTTTTTTTTTTTTTTGCTGCCTTAAAGCATTCTTATCCCAAAGTCCATCCCAAAGTGTGTCCCGGTCTGGTGTCCAGAGTCCCAGCACAGCCTGTCCCTGAGATCTCCACATTTCTGTGCTGAATACATGTGCCTTTAGCACGTGGACCAGCACTGGTTCCATCAGAGAGAACCCACCCAGAGAGAACCCATCTCTGGTCCCAAACTCAGTCTCTGGTCCCAAACTCAATCTCTGGTCCCAAATCAATCTGTGGTCCCAAAGCCACCTCTGGTTCCAAACCCATCTCTGGTCTCAAAACAAGTCTCTGATCCCAAACTCAGTCTCTGGTCCCAAATCAATCTCTGGTCTCAAAGCCATCTCTGGTCTCAAAACCAATCCCTGGTCTCAAAACCAATCTCTGCTCTCAAAACCACCCTCTGGTCTCAAAAGCAATCTCTGGTCTCAAAGCCAACCTCTGGTCCCAAACCCAATCCCTGCTCCCCAGATCTTCTGCAGCACCTGGTCCCAAACCAGGCACCACTAAAAATCCTGCAGAAACCCCCAGAAACCCAGCCCAAAAGCGAAGGCAAGCATCAAACTCCAACTTACCCTGGCGACCAGTGAGGACTGGAGAGAAGTTGGAGAGGTGTGAATGAAGACCCCTCTGCCAGGGAGCCCTTTTATACAATCCAAAGCCTCCCCCCCCTGGAAATGAGGCATTCCTTGGCTATTCTGACTCCCCTGGGGCGGGAAGGGGGTCACCAGGCACATCCTTCCCACGTGTCTTCCGGGGGTTTAATCTTCACCTCTTTCCTTTTGCTCACCTCCTCAATCCTTCCCCCCTTGGTAATTACTCCTCCACACGAACAACAGACGTAAATTTGCCAATGAATTGGCGTTAATGGCACCGGAGGCAGCTCTGAGGAAGCTCCAATTTCCCCGGGAATGGCCTTGGGACACGCTCAGCAATGTGCCCGGGGCAGGGTGGGGGCTGAAGCAGTGGCAGAACCACGCCTGGAACTTGGGAATGTCCTTGGTGAGGAATTTTTTTTTGGGGGGGGAATCTATTGGTCAGTGGGAATCCCGGTTTTGCTGTCTCTGTGGTCGAAGTTTAGGCTGAAGGGTTTCTCCTTTCTCAGTTTTGCTCTTGGGTTATCCCTTCGGGGTGCTGGGCCCTCAAACTCCCTGCTTTTTATTTCTGTTACATATTAAGAATTTTATTTTTTTTTTTTTAGTTTTCATCCATAGAATGGGTGGATCGAATCTAAATCGAGCAGCTCTCAAGGCAGGCGGTACTGGAGGTGTGAGGTCCCATTTTCTGAGGTCATTCCTGACTCTGGCATTTGAGTGTTCCGCACTGTTTGACTCCGTGTCACTGCACGAGAACACGAGGAATTGTGGCCATGTGTCGAGCCAGGACAACCCCACGTGAGAAGGAGAAGGAGGAGAAGAAGAAGAAGAAGAAGAAGAAGGAGAAGGAGAAGAAGAAGAAGAAGAGGGAGAAGGAGAAGAAGAAGAAGAAGGAGAAGAAGAAGAAGAAGAAGAAGAAGAAAAAGAAGAAGAAGAAGAAGAAGAAGAAGAAGAAGAAGAAGGAGGAGAAGAAGAAGAAGAAGAAGAAGAAGAAGAAGAAGAAGGAGAAGGAGAATGAGAAGAAGAAGAAGGTGTTGATGATGTTATTTTCACATCACGAGGGGGGCCACCAGCAAAAGACAAGAGTTCCAAGATGCTGAGGCAGCGCCTACTCATGGGCAAATCACCCCCAGCAGGCTCTGACCGTGGGGCTGATGTGGTGGCAGGTGATCCCCTGGTGGCTGGGACGTGATGTATCTTCCCAGGATGCGACCGTGACCTCCCGTGACGTTTGGGTGGCCCTCCTGGAATTGTCCCCAGGGGAGCGCTGTTTAGGTCACTGCATAATAAGCCAGAAACTTGCCTGCAGGAAGCAGCATCCTGCCTGTGTAAACCCTCAGACATCTGCCCCCTGAGTAGAGTCATTCATCACGTTTTCTGTCGGGATTTATTGTTGCCCCGTCGGCCAAGATGGTCCCGATCATCGCAGAAACGAGGATTTTATGAAGCACAGGGATGTGGAACGGTTTGGGTTGGAAGAGGAGACCAAAGAGCATCTAATCCAACCCCCCTGGATGGGCAGGGACATCTTCAATGACATCAGGTTGTTCAGAGCCCCGTCCAACCTGGCCTTGGACACTCTCAAGGATCCAGGGGCGGCCACAGCTTCTCTGGGCAAGCTGTGCCAGGGCCCCACCACCCTCCCAGGGAGCAATTTCTTCCCAATACCCAATCTAAACCTCCTCTCTGGCAGTGGGAAATCATTCCTCCTTGTCCTGTCCCTCCATCCATTGCCCAAAGTCCCTCTCTATCTCTCTTGAAGCCCTTTGGGGCATTGGAAGGGGCTCTGAGGTTCTCCCTGGAACCTTCTCCTCTCCAGGCTGAACCACCCCCAGCACTCCCAGCATTTCTGGCATTTTTTTTCCTGCTGTTAAATGCCATTTAATTTACAACTGGGTCAGAAATAAGATCTCCATCAAGTCCCTTTTACGTGTGATTTCTTGGTGAACTTCTGGGGTGGTTCTGTGAGTTTGGGACCTGCAGGACCTTTGTGAGACGGGGCAGGATCTGACCCTGCAGCTTTTCCAGGCTGGATGGGGCTCTGAGCAACCTGGACTAGTGGGAGGTGTCCCTGCCCATGGCAATGGGTGGAATGAGATGGTTATTAAGGTCCCTTCCGACCCAAACCACTCCACAATTCCACGACGAAATTAAATAATCACAAAATTTCCCTTTAACCAAGGCACTTCTGCTCTAGTTCTGGTATAAAATATCCTCCTGCCAGCGCATTGTACCCAGTTTACCTCTTAATAAAAACCCCCTGAACGCCTGAGAAATGTTTTCAGAAGAGCCAAACAGGCAGGGACGATGATTCTAAGGCAGATTGAGGAAGCAATCAAGCCCGGCGCTCCAGGCACCTTCCCCAGACGTGCAATTCAGGCCTGACTCCTGCATTTTAATAGCAAAGAAAGTCCCAGCCAGGGAGGAAAGGCATCACCTGACTCATGTGTGGGCTATTCCAGGAATGAGGCTTTTCAGTTGTGCGTTGAGCCCCTGGGTTTCACTCCGGTGCTGGGAGTCGAGGAAGGCGCGGGGGAAACGCTCTGCTCACCTTAGGACACCTCCTTGGGTGGATTTTGGGCTTTTTTCTGGGCAAGATGGTGGTGGAAGATGATGGTGCCTGTGCTCAGTGAGTAGTGGTTTCCTCTCAGTGCCTGCTGAAATGCCCTTTCCAAGATAAGGGAGGTCCTGTAGGTCTTGTTGGGGTCTAAAACCTCCTGCCGAGGGGCAGCTCCGATATCTGCTCTGTGTGAGCAGCGACAGGACCCAGGGAAGGGGCTGGAGTTGTGCCAGGGAGGGGTTAGGATGGATTTTAGGAAAAGGTTCCCTCCCCCAGAGGGTGGTTTGGGCACTGAACAGGCTCCCCAGGGCAGTGGGCACGGCCCCAAGGCTGCCAGAGCTCCAGGAGGGTTTGGACAACGCTCTGAGGAACAGGGTGGGATTGTTGGGTTGTCTGTGCAGGGCCAGGAGTTGGACTGGATGGTCCTTGTGGGACCCTTCCAGCTCAGGACATTCCATGATTCTATGATTTACGGAGTGGTGTGTTTTCAGGTGGTGGGATCAGTCCCTTCAATATGAATTTTATTTACCTTAACCTTTTAAGTTTTATAGCAAACACCGAGCTGTGTGGCAGATGATCAGGAGGGGCCAGAAAGGATCTTAGAATCGTGGAATGGTTTGGGTTGTAATGGGCATCATTGAATATCATCCAGTCCCACCCCCTGCCATGGTCAGGGACACCTCCCACTATCCCAGGTTACTCCAACCTGGCCTTGGACACTCCCAGGGACGGGGCAGCCCCAGTTTCTCCGTGCAGCCCATTCCAGTGGCTCAGGTTGCTCTTCTTGCTGCCTTCAGACACGACCCAATTCCCACCAGCAGAACCAAGCAGCTCTTTGTTCCCTGAGTGTCCTGCTGTGCCACTGGAGCTCACCTGCAGCCAGGAGGGCACCGCAACGAGGACAAACTCGGGGCAGAGCCGCGGAAAGAACAACCAAAAGAGCGGGTGTTGCGTTTTGAGTGATGCTCAGTTTTATTGTCTACAAGCCAAGGGAGAGAACAAAGAGTGATCCCATCACCAGCAAACCCCAATTTCCCAAATCCCAAACACCAAGAAGAGAGTTAACACCCCACTAATACCTAACAGCTCTTTGCCTTATACAATGGCTGATAAATTGGAGATAATAACTAAAGGGCAGGAAGAAGCAGCAGCTTAAGCTTGAAAAGAAGAAGAAGAAGAAAATCACTACGTGTTGGCTCCATCACAACGAGAACCAGAGGCAGGGGAGCAGGTTTTCATCTCCTGTTCTCGTTGCTGGAGCTGGCAGAGGTGCCTTTGCCACCCCCAGGGGCGGCTCAGCAGCTCTTCTTGATGCAGCACTGCTGGATGGGGATGCAGGGCACGCAGCACTTCCTGACGGAGGTGCAGCACTGCACGGGACTGCAGCACACCACCACGGGCTTCTTCTTCACCACGTAGGAGCAGCAGGAGGAGCAGCAGCAGGGCCGTGGCACGCAGCAGACCGACTTCTGGCACACCTTGGTGCAGCACACGGGCTGCTGGCACGGCTCGCAGCACACGGACTGGCACGGGTTGCAGCACACGGACTGGCACGGGTCGCAGCAGGGCTTCTGGCATGGGTCACAGCAGCTCTGGCACGGGTCACAGCAGCTCTGGCACGGGTCGCAGCAGGGCTTCTGGCATGGGTCACAGCAGCTCTGGCACGGGTCACAGCAGGGCTTCTGGCATGGGTCACAGCACACAGTCTGGCATGGATCGCAGCAGGGCTTCTGGCATGGGTCACAGCAGGTCTGGCACGGGTC